CTATGAAAATATTTTGCCCTGCCTACAATTCATGTAAAATTAGATGTTTTTTTGTTTACGTTCCCCAAAAATATTTTAGACTCATGTACCTACGCACGTGTGTTGGGAGAGTCTTTGAAAAAAAACTTTTTTGCGTCATGAGGTGTTTTCTACAGAGAAAATATTTGCACGGGTAGGGCAAAGTTCGAAAATCTAAATAAAAATTGCAATAATCGACACGCCCTCCTGACGTACAAACTGTTTGTACGGGAGCTTTGTCCAGTGCCAAATTTATTTTAAAACACAAATTGTGTTTTTGGCACTGATTGAATATAGCAGAAAATAGTGGAATAACGTACGTTCCAATTATCGAATTGTTCGTTTCCATTTACGGAGAATTATTTTTGTACAATTCCGTTTAAATGTGGTTTATTCGTTGACTGGAACTGCACAAATGGGATCGAGTCCATATTAAATTTGAAAAATGTTCTTTCATAAAAAAAGGGCGGTTTAATCAAGATAGTTGCTTATTTTTCAAGAAAAAGCTGTTAAACCCCATTTAGCATAAATAGGGCTTAACAGCTTAACTTACCTGCTAATATACCTGCATCGACCTGTGTTCAGGTATAGTCTTCCCGAAGTCAGTTGAACATGTATAAAAACGCCTAGCAATAATATTTAATGAATTTCATGTGTTTTCTGCTAAAGGTAAAAAATTATAATAATTTGTATCTAATGTACAGAACATTTCTATTATATGTTATTATTTCTATTATATGTCCTCAAACGATTTTATTATATTAATTGTAAATTTCGTTTTATTCCGTTTCAAAAGGTCTCCAAAATGCCATGCTGTAATAATATTAGTAAACAAAAATCCCTCTTATTTCTCCCTTTTGCTATTGTAATATGAATGATTAATAAAAGGCGCCTATAGTAAATTAAAATTACCTGAATCACACCAAATTCCACATTGCTGCACTGCACTGCTAGGCAATTTGTCAACCAATTGTCAACAACCGAGTTTTATTGTCCAGTCGCCCAGTGCGGTTGTGGTATACGCCGTTTGCCCGCGCATTCTTTCACATTTAGTTCGACCAGGCCTGTATATGGGTATGGCTAAATAAATGTGGGAACAAGTTTTTCAAATGTTTCAATGCCGAGTTGCTGCGTCAGCGACCGAACCTGGTACGTACTTGCAACCTCTTGGTTCTTCAATTGAGATCGGAAAGACTATACCTCCCGTGATAAATAGATGTTAAGGAAATCATAAAGATTGTTATACAATTCTCACTGAACGTAAGAAATCCAGTATTGAAGGTATTGAAAGAAATTATAAATTAACAATACCTAAATCAAATGAAAACCTTCTGGAAAATTGTAAATTGACGCATTACCGAAAGGATAATAAAGGAAGATGGAACACATATGACAGCAAGTCAAATCCGGCGTTACATCACCGATTATAGATGCTAGTGAACTAGAAAAATTATGTTTCACATGTTAAAACTGTTGAATATTCATCACATTACGATTACTACAAAGATTTATTATTAACATAGATCATAATTATTTCATCAAAAATTATAGTAATGTATAAAAATGTTTTTAAAAGAAACCTTTAGAAAGCCTTCATAAATGTTTACAAGCCATGTGACCGCTGAGCTTAGGCAACCCTACAATGCACGATTGGTACTGGCAACGAAAATTCCCTACGTCTTGGCGTGGTCAATATTAACGGTTCGTTTACAATGAATAATGACAAACCGTTACGTCGAAGCTCGAGATAATGCGATTGCTGATTGTTTGAATGAATCTCGTGAAAAATTACTTTTGATTTTATTGCTTTAATTTTACCGAAATTTATTTGCCAACGTGAAGAAAATAAAATTACTGTTCCAAACAATATTACTAGTCACGTGACTTGTAATCATTTATGAAGGATCTGTATTATAATGTACTGCAAATGTCATATCGAATCTTTCCATTAAATTCAAAACTTCAGTAAAATTTATACAAAGTTTGCTAAAATATATAGATTAAATAAATACATTTCATTTTATGATTTATTAGACACCCTGTATCCAAAATTAATTTTTTATTTTTTTATATTATTTGAAGTGTTTTTTTCGATTTTTAATTTAATGTCAATATTGTTGTGGTATAAATTATCTGAGTGGGTAGATATATCAAAACATCAAACTTGTTATGTTTGGTGTTATGCAATAATATCATATGTAGGTGAAAATGTATTGTTTTCTTGATATTTATTTTAAAACTTACACACGCTTATCTTCTATTATCTTACACATTTTAAATTGTTTTACTACTCGGCATAAAGTGATAGCAAATCAGAGTATGTATGATTTAATCTATTACGAGATATATTGGCGCGTCGCTTTGTTTTGAAAATTGGATACCATAATATCTTAATAATGTCTCAATAGTAACGCAGGATTTGAATTGCGCGCCATTTTCATTCCGAAGAGTTGAGAGCATTATGTAGTGTTACATTTTGTAGTAAACATGTTGCGGTTGCGAGAGTATGTAGCTGAGACTCTGCGCAAATTACATGGAATTTTTTAAATTTCATTTTATAAAAGAATTGCATCTAAAAATTGCAAACATATTTTCACAAAAAATGAACTATAATATAATAATCCTTTCTTGTTTGTGTTATTAAAATGCTTTAAAATATAATTTTCAAGAGTACTTATTTATAAAAAAAATTACACATGCACAGGACTCCCCCCCACTTGCATACCTCTACATACGTTTTGAAAATTTTGGTCCCATATACTTTTGTACCGCGCAGTCAACTAAAAAATTAGAGGGGACATTACTTTTGGGACACCTGTTATTATCGTATTGTGTGAACTAGGTACACTTTTTTTAATCTAGTGTAATACTGGCTTCAATAAAGGATGATATCAAATTCAAATTATATAATGTCGACTTTTTACATCTAATCCTGTTATTCCGTCTCGAATTGCGTAAATATTTCACGTGAGTCCTTTAACCTGTTAAATGTGGTAATTAAACACATTTGATTAGAGCGGTACGATAGTCCACCGGTTGTTGTAAATATAGGAAAAGTAGGTGTGTACATATCCTTGAGAAGCCGATTTTCTTAAAAAATGTAAATAAGTTAATAATTTGTTGCGTATACGCACGGTTTTAAGACAAATGCCATTAACATGCAAATTAGGATTAGTTACCGGATACCAATCTTAAATGTCAATTAAATTTTTGTCGGTAAATAGATTTTTTTACAAATTCAAAGTGTGTAAAAGTACTTAGAATGTATCTGGTGCAAATAAATGGCTATTAAAGACTGTTAAAAGGAAACTGCACTAAAAATACAAAGTGTGCATATTTATGCAGATACTAATGCGATGATTACGAAATTTCGTCTTCCTAAAAATAAATTTGGCCGAGACGAGCGGAAAAACAACACCAGTGTGTGCACCAAAATATCCTATTTTATTTCTGATGCTCTTGACATAATAAACAATTTTGGATAATTTGATTACGCTGAGAAAAGTTTTGTTTACAAGCTAAATTTCACCTCAAAACACATGGAACCGGTCATGTTTATGTAAAACTTTCTCATGGATAATTTCATTTATACCGGGTGCATCAAAAAAATACCGCAAGCTGTAACTTCGCCGTTCCTTGTCCGATTTTAGAAAACAAAAGAATAACGTTAATGGCTCCAAAAGAATTACAAAGTGACACAAACTATTACCTGTTTTTCAAGGCCTACTTTAAAGGTGGGCGATTGTCAATTGTTTTTTTAAATGAAACGAGATATACAGGGTGTTTAGAGATTCGCGGATACAGAGAGTGGGAGGTTAATGTACAGCAAAAACTAATAGAAAACCTTATTACACTTTTTCGATCAGACAAGATACAAGAACGCATTTTTCTATTGGTACATGAAATAACACCTGAGAATAATGCTCTTCAGCAGTTCAGCAAGTGCAAGCAAGTGCAGAAGAATGTTTAGCAGCAGGTGGTGGACATTTCGAACAGTTTTTATGGTTAAAATTCATTCCTACATGTGATTAAAATTTGCTTTTCATTTGTTTAAAATATCTTTGACATCACGATAACTGGAAAAGCTGATCGAAAAAGTGTAATAAGGTTTTATATTCAGTTTTTGCTGAAGAAAAATAAAATATAGTAAATGCCAGTACGTAGCATTAACACTAATCTTTTGTTTTCTATAATTGTTCAAAAAGGGCGGGACCATAGCATGGTTTTTACCCAACACCCAGTACATTGAGAAAAATTACACATACACTGAACAGATGGACTGAAAATCCTTTATATGTATGTAAAATCATCTCATTTCCTTTACTTACAAAAAATGGTATTTCATTTACTAAAGCTTTTGCTACAGTAAGATGATTTTTTAACATTGCTATTTGACTTGACTATCTATTATTTGACATGATTTCAAGCAATTTGAAAAAAATTTATTCAAAGACATTCGAAAAGTATTAAGGAAAAGTTCCTTTGTATCCGTATGCCAATTTTCAATTCACAGATAAAATTTTCATTTTCTTTTTACCATTGTTAATAAGGTTTGAAGTAAATCGTGATGGCATATACGAAAGTTAATTAAATTTTATGTCACGTCAAATTAATTTGTGAATCCTTATTAAATATATATATTTTTAAATTTGTATATTTTATATGATATACAGGAAATGTTCTCGAAATGGAAAATTGTCCAGGATGTCAAAAAATGTTAAAAATGTTAATTGGAGAATGAAATTTGTGTCAGCTTTCTCCATTTTAATAAGAAACATTTTGTTATCTTCGCAATTTGTACTGAAATCTTATTTCAATACTAATTATACTGAATTGTTAGAAAGCGTGTATTTCGATTTTTTATTTTTTTTTGTATTTTTATTCATATCGCTTTTGTTAGTGTTAAATATTTTTTTAAATGTTTCGACATCTTTAAGATTCTGACATTTTCCACACGAGAGTCGCCGCTTTTGGTGTCTTACCTGTTATAAAAAGAGCTGAAAGAACGGCAAAACTGCGTCTGATGTCGTTAATGACCGTATACATAATATTGTCTGGCTTCCCTCACACCACTGAAAAATCCAAAGAGACAAATATTCCGGAATCACTCCAAAGGCTCGCGGAAAACTCCAGGAAAATCACGCCGGTCACGTGGAAAATTCAACAGCTGGAAATCGGCTACACTTCGGCGCGTTCCAGGAGAGACTGATTCCAAACGGTTGAGTGTCGCTTTGGCGAAGCCAGCGAGATACGCGCGTCAAATGGCTTTTTCGAACGTGTCCGTTTCGCCTCGCTCGCTCTCTCTTTCTCTCACCTGCCTAAAGGCAGCTTACCTGCCTGGTTGGTGCGTGGAAGCGGGACGGAGGTAACCCTGACTGTGGCAAAAATAGGATCACGCCACTCCGTGTAATTGTTGCGATAGGTTAAAAATTGTTCCTAGCGGAGGGGATTATCGTACGATTTTAAGTAAGCATGAATTAAGTAACTTAATAGAGGAGATGATATAATGGAAATTGTTGATTAGTCAACGATAGTCTGAGAATTCCCCTCCCTTCCCTTACGGTTTATCATATTGTAGGTAATATAGAAAGTGATAAAAAGTCAGGGAATTCGTTTCCACAATATCTGGAAATCTGATTCAAGACAAAAACAAAATATTGGCATATTAGATCGTCTGGTAAATGTGAAGGTTTTTTGGGGTCAATTGTGGCTTTGCGGAGGCAAAGTCCGGAAATTTTCAGAACATGGGTGAAATTGTATCCTTCGATCTGTAGTAGGTCGTCTGCGATAATTTGTCTGTGGATTCCTATTGTTTTGGCGGGAACAGCGTCTTGTATGGAGTGTTTTGATTGATGCATTTTTTCGAAACATAGGTGAATTTTGAACTGCGAATGTTTGGGAATTCACTACCCTTCTGTTACTTTAACATATCGTTGTAGAGAAAGTTATAAGTAATCGCTTAATTCATTTTCACATTATCTGGAAATTTAGTTCAAGGCAAAAACAAAATATTTGGCTTGTTTGTAATTTATCAGTGTGACTGGATGATTTCTAGATCATATGCCATGTTTTCGTTTTAAATGCTTTGATATTCCGAAAGACATATTCCTCTCTGCCGCTGAAACTGAAAGAGTTTCAGAGCTTTAAACATAGCAACCACTTCAAATGCCATCTGCCAAGAATTAAACACATATATGCATATAACTTTAAAGATTCCTATTAAATATTTACATGCACGGTTTAGATACGATACGATCTGACTCTAATAACAATAGCCATAATCTGCATTTCTAGTCTAAGTTTGAAGATCAAGCCCAAACATTCTTGTATAATACGAGAGTTTTGCTAATTTGGATTTTATTGTTTTGTTTAAATTTTGTACTATGAACAATATTTTGCCTCTCAAGTTATTCTTAACTGATTTTAACAAATATGATACGAGAAAAATAAAGAAAGAACATGCCACTATTATCAGTTTTTGAAAAAAAAATCGCAACAGCGCCCCATTGAACTTCACTTTTTGTGCCTTCTATACGATGTTATATATGGTTATTTTCTTTCAAGAAATATTTCGTAATTTCTCTGTAGCAACAATAATTCAAGAAACCAAAACTATAAATTGGAATTGGTTAATACATTCCTTTATTTGATTCAAAACTTTAACACCCTGTATCTCAAAAGTGAAAACTTACAAGACGTAAGGCTATAGGCCATAATTACTTTGTAATAAAGAATCCTTCTCCGAAATTGTCGTATTTAAATTGGAATTTGAATAATTCCTGTACTTTATTGTTACAAGAGGTAGTTTAAATATCTGCTATTTTATCATTCTGGCTGAGTTCATATGACAAGCTAAATTAAACTGAACTAATTAATTAACTAAACTAAAGTAAATTAAACTAGTTACTAAACAATTTGATGAAGTGATCCAAAAACGGAAAGTACAATACTAAGCTAATTAAAAAATTCCTCTGCTTTTCCGAAATAAACTTTTCAATTACTTTTTCATTAAAGCTTTTTTCTCGCACCATTGATTTTTGCAAGTACTAAAATCGATTTAAACCTTTACAATTTTTTAAAATACAAGAAAGAATATGTAAGTGTGGGTACACATGCTGCAAGTGACCAATTTTTGAGTACAATGTCAATGGCGCCATCCTGACACTACCGGGGACGAAACAGGGTTCCAAAAAAAAGGTCGACGGCAGATTGGCGCCAAGGACCAGGTACTTTTGCGAGCGATTCCACACCAAGGGGGACTCTCCAGCGAACACTCGCCTCGACAACACGTCTTTTTTTACAAACTTTGTTTTCAATAAAAATACTTTATTTTTACCGTTGATAGAGCGTTTTATTTTTGTACAGCGAAAGCAACCCTCATAAGTAAAAAAAATACCCCACACCTGAACAAATTACGTTTATTACGAAAAAAAGCAGTGAATATGTATTTGGTTACGATCAGACAGCATAGTAAATATGGTCTACTCCCAGTCCGTCTTTCACTGTCCGCGCGACGGTAACCATGACCACCACTGTAAACACTTTCCAAATGTAGAAGCGAGTTAGACGAGCCCACGTATTCAGAGTTTTACAAACGAATTTCGCAAGTCGAGTCAAATCGACTGCTCATTACAAATTTAATATTTCCTTTTTAATGTGTTCCATAAGTAGAACTGTCAGAACTGAGCCGCGGGACATAAGCGTACGCATTATTTATTAAAATGCAACAAATTAAATTATCTACAATACACTACCATAAACACCAACGAATCGGAATTAATTACGCAACATCCGCACGATAACAAAGGTAACGTCAACAGTATACTAACGTGGCGTGAACATGAAAAGCATTCTGAGGCAGCGGCTCACGCATGTCTCGGTGGACCCGCTTGGCACGCCATTAAATTGCGGCTCTCTCTGACAGCCTCATTCATAAGGCTATTTAAATATGTAGATGACATTGTGAACTAAACTTTAAAGTTTTTTACTATGAAAGTTATTCGGCGCCCCAGACCCCCCCACACTAGCTGCCACCATCCACAGTTTTATCTGTATTTAAGATGTTCCGTGGAATACAAAAAGATATCAACGTTATAATTTAATATATTTTGCAGTTCTCTTGCATTTTATTAAATTATTTCTAACTAGGCGTGAAATATTTGCAACTATTCGCTCTTCTACGAGTATGCTAATTCTCACCTGTTTGTTACTCGCGAATTTATTGTTTGCTGATACATACCGTGGCCTGACTAGATGACGCATGTATGGGGTGATTCCGTTCACCGAAAACGGATTCAGCTGCTGCGCTATGGAAAAATTTTTAGTTTTCAATGTTGGTGTAAACAAACATTACGCACATCAACATAATGTGAACATCGTATCGTCCTTCTATGGCAATCGAAGGGAAATCGACAGGTGTCCGTGGTTTATTTTGTACCCTCTTGTTTACCTTTGGAGTATGCTAAATATTGATTTTGATTAAATATTTTTGATAGGCATATTCACGTTGTTTTCATAACGTGTAATTGGCTTAGTATCGTTTACATAAATCTATGTAAACTAAAACGTAAAGTTCCGATCCACTCGCTAACATACTCTTTTCAAGGTGAGGTCATATAAGGTCTGTTTGAATTTCGAGTCCCCCATATACAGGATGTTTATGAAATAAGTACGTTCCTTGAAAAGGATACGAAAATAAGCAACTTTTATTAAGCAACTGTGGTCTAAAAAGGTTCTGTTTTCGAGAAAATTAATTAAGAAAATTAACCGTAAATGTAAGCCGACCCTGTGCATTTTGTGCACCTGCGTTGTGTGTTGCAGTGTTATTTAGCCAGCTTAACAGTACCGTGTGGCATAGATACGACAACAATTATTACACCCCTATCATGAACAAAGGGTTCAGGCATTAAATAACAATGATTTTCAGCTCTGTGTGGAATTTTGTCAGTGGTTTCGACATCAAATAGCAGGAGATCTTATTTCAGAAACACACTGTGTCTTGTTGGAAAATGATAATAATCAATAATATTTCTTTATTTTTTTGTATCACAGGCAAGAAATTAGGCTTCAATATTTTTTTGGCATAGATGCCGTTAGTGCCAATACAATCTTTACCTCATGTCCATGTACTTTGGAAAACCAATTTCGGAAATGAACTAAATAATACCCGCAATATGAACTACCTCTCAAATAAACATCTAAGACTAACTAGAACACGAAATGGTACAGGATATTGGGGTTTAAAATTCTTTAATGCTCTCTCTGATTATGTAAGGATTTTAAATATGAATACTTTTAATAAAAGAATTAAGAATTATTTATTGAGAAACGCCTTTTATGATTTTAATCAGTTTTTATCAAGTGACTTGCACAATATTTAATTTGTTAGTTTTAACTATTTGTTGGTTCTTATCATCTGTACCTATCTACATGTATTGTTTTGTATGTTTGTAGTATTTTTTAATGATGTTGTTAGTCTGTAACTATTTTATATTGATTTTACCTATTTTTGTATATTTTTATATAGTAAGTAATCTCAGCGTACTCTGGTGTGTATTGACATGAATTGAAATAAATAAATAAATAAATAAATAAATAAATAAATAAATAAAGTGAACAAATGTATTATGGAGGAATATGGGTTATGTCATATGCCACCCACTTTGTTAATGTTACAAATCTGATAGATTAGCCTTCCAAGCAAAATTGCTGAAGGGGTTGAACTAGTATTTTACTATTATACTGTCAATTGAATAATGGAAGGTACGTGGAGGAATACGGGTATGACCATATTTCAACTGTAATGATTACCTCATCAAACCTGTAAGTGGTGTTATTGATACTCAGGTAAATCCCATTTGCTCCTTAGAGCTCCTATATAAGAATATTGGAGCAGTTTATATAATATTCTGCTAAGTTACTTTAATATAAAACTATTTAAGCGGAATATGGATGTGGTTACATTCCCCTCTGCATAATTTCTTACCAAGTTGGTAGAGTAGAGTGTCCTTTTGCTCTAGGCTTCTACATAAGATTATCAAAGTGGTTTAACGAGTATTTTACTGGCACTCTTTCAGTGTAATGCGGAAGAATATGGCCAATGGCCATACCCATCACCCGTCATGATTTTCTCACTAAGCTGGCGTAAGTCGTGCTGGTCAAATATTTTTCCTTTAACCCTCGATGCAAGATTATTGAAGCGGTTGAACTAATACTTCAGTCATCTGAATAACA